TTGACATTGAACACTCACACCCCTATCATTCCTGATACTCGAACCCAAGACATTAAAGAATAACAACAATTTAAAGGTCTAAACAGGTAATTTTCTCTATATTCTTTAACAATAAAAAAATTGGGGGAGGGACAATGACCCTAAGCTCCTACATAGTTTCTATGTCACTGTATTTGTATTTTAGGTCCTTATTAGTTTTGAAACTGGACAAATAAAGTCCCGGCCCTTGATTTTTTTTGTTTAAATACATTTTAAGTCTTCGACTAACTTTGAAATTAGACAAATTAACTATTGGTCACGATTTTTTATTTAAATACATCTTAGGTCCTTGTTGATTTCGAAATTAGACCCAAACCCCTAATTTTTGATAGCTTAACGATTGACACTAACCCATATATTATTTCTATTTATATTCTCCCCCAACATTTCATCTAACTTGCGCTATGTCAAATCGAATATAACATTTAACGTTTATATTGACGGTTGCATCTTATGAAAGGACGTGATTGATACAACGTTGATTCTTTGATGGCTCAATTGGATTTTTCAAATTTCAGGATATTTGGTTAAATTAACTTTTTTCCTCATATAAAAAAAATCTTTTACCAACAAACTGCTGGTTTAGTAGGATTAGACACTAGATCCTTTAAGCAAGGTTAGAGGTTCAAATATTGGTAATTATGAATAAAGCAAACTGGGTTGGGAGTGTCACATTTATCTCTGTAATACCTGATTCGGATTAGTCAATTAATTGATCAGATACTAGTAATTATATAAAAGAAAGGGTCACATTTATCTCTGTAATACTTGATTCGGATTAGTCAATTAATTGATCAGATACTAGTAATTATATAAAAGAAAATGATCTTTTAATAAAGAGGACAAAAGGAAGGGGACCCAAATCAAAGACGTCAATAAAATTTGGGAAACAGCTGATTTCATCCCCTCCTTCTTCCATTGCCTATTTCCCCCCCATCATTTTTTGTTTGATGCAAAGTCCTACTTCTTCCTATGACATAGCTTGTTTGGTATACCCAAAATTTAAGGGGTAAAATAGGGAAATTATTTATTCAAAGGGGAAAGTTACAAATAATTTCTTACTTCCCCAAAATGAATTTAAAATATAAAAATCCAAGTGAAGACAAATTACTCATTGGGATAAAAAGAATGCGTAAAGTCCATTACATCATCACTGTTATCTCTTAGGGTAAAAATACATAAATGGTCCTCCAACTATAAAATACTACTTTATTAAGGGGTTGTTTGTTTGGCTCTGAATCGAACCATTCAGCGTTGAATGAAGAACCGTTCAACATTCAACACGTTTGTTTCATACCTCTGAATGATTTAGTGTTGACTGATTCAGCAAAACAGTGTTGAATGATTCAGCACAGAAGTACATTCTGAATGATTTAGAGTCATTATCAAACATCATGTCACATTCAGAGCTAATTCATACAGAACTTCTGAATCATTCAATATTTGAATCATTCAGCGCTTAATCATTATGAATTAAACAAACAATCCCTAAATCTCTCTATTTTTAAAAATTACAAAATGATCCTCCAACTATAGAGTGTTTCTTTGTGAGTCCATCAACTATTAAAAGTTACAAGATGACTACCCGATTATTCATTATATTCCAAACCCGTCATTTTCCTTTAAAAATCGACTGTATTATGAGCTGAACGTTAATCTGCTGATTGTGAAATGATAAAATATGATCCCCGAATCTAAAACGACGATCATATTTCAACCATCATGTTAACGTTCAGCTTAGACAACTGGGAATGGACATGGGACCCGAACCCGATGACCCGTTTTGAAAAAATTATCATTTTACCTTATATAGTTAGTGATCATTGCAATACAATAATACTCCTCTATTTTTTTCTTTCAATTAATATTTTTTATTGAATAAAATATTTTTTTATTAAATATACTATTTCAGGTTGGGTCTGGTTTAGATTTAATCTCAAAAAATTAAGTAGGGTGCAAATGATATTTTTTTCGAGTAGAGATCAATTCGAGTGGATGATTTAAAAATTTTCAGATCGGATTGGGGATAAAAACCCGACCTATGTACATCCATATGAAATATTATTGCAATGAAGCGGTTTAAATCGGAAGCGATTGATTGGTCAAAACTATAAAATTGGATATGAGAGTCGGCATCAAGACCACTCAAAGCTCAGCTTTTGTAAATTGAAAGTGGGCGATTTTTGTCTTACTCTTCACTGCAAAATCGACCACCAATTAGCAACAACATACCAAAGGGTGCGAGACACAAAATGAGGGGGGACAATATATAAGAAATAAAGTACACGAATTGTCTTCGGCTATAATATTTCATGAAATATATACAATATAGTTTATCATTATGTCTAATATTTATTAAAAACTAGATTTATTAATAATTATTAAAATAACAAAAAAGGGAAAGAAAAAGGGGGAGTCACATAAATCTTGTGCGACCGTTTGCACCACGTGAACTTGTGAACTCTCCCCAAACCCTACCCACCGAAAGGCTAAACCAGTAGTTTTTTTCCTTCTAGAAGCCCCACTCTCTCCCTCCCCTTGGGGAGATCCTTGGCAACATGAAAGGATAACTTGGTCATTTCACTGTCACTTTCTCGATGCTCCACCACTCTCTGTAGGAGACAGTAGGCTTACTGTTCATCGAATCCACTCTACACTCTAACCCCCCTTGCTCCTTTAATGCCAGATTTAACGTATGATTATTATTACTTTTTGTTGTTGTAATTCATGTGTCACAGTTTAGCCTAAATTAATTTTTGTTGTACATCTTATCTTAGTGGAAGAGTTTTTTTAGTATGAATATTTTTCATATGTAAAAATTTGAACTTGATACTTTACTTAAGTGATATCAAACTGCTTATCACTTAAATAAAATAAATTAACTAATGATTATTTGATGTCTCCTATTAATAATTAAAATAAGGGTAAAGTATAGTAATGGTCACTGAACATTTCTAAAGCTTGCATTTAGGTCTCACAACTTTTAAAACTTGCAATACAGTCCCCCAACATTTATTCCGTTTGCAATTAGGTCCCTCAACTTAAACCACTGTTAGAAAATTAGGGTAACGGTCATTGAACTTTTTAGGTACTTGAATTTAGATCTCCCAACTTTTAAAACTTGTAAAATAGTCCTCAATTTCATTCTAAACCCCAATTTCCAAAGTAATTCAATTTCATTCTAAACCTTAAATTCCAAAATAATTCAATTAAATTTTAAACCCCAAATTCTAAAATACTTCAATTTAAGGTTTAGAATGTAATTGAATTATTTTGGAATTTAGGGTTTAGAATGAAATTAAGGTGTTTTAAAATTTTGAACATGAATTTACTATTTGACAATATTTATTTCAATATAAATTTGAGGTTTGTTTAACTATTTATATCAATTTTGAATAACAATATGCATTGATTAAACATCCCGAATAGCAAAATGGAAGCACTCTATTCGGTATTTCAACTTCCCATAAACTCTGCTCATTTCTTCAACTTTTGACTATATGAAATTCGGAACACTCATTTGGAGCATTATGATTTAAGTACCACTATGTTCTTGCATGCTATTTTTTTTATCAGATTTGAGTACCTAACCCTTCAGTGTTTTACAGTGCGATCATTTATGATTCACCTGAATTTGCTCATACAGTGATCATTTATGATTTAGTAGAATCAATGGTTTAGAATGAAATTGAATTACTTTGGAAATCGGGTTTATAATGAAATTAAGGACTGTTTTACAAGTTTTAAATGTTGGGAGACCTAAATTCAAGTGTCTGAAAAGTTTAATGACCGATTATATAATTTATTCTAATTTTCTAACAGTGGTTTAAGTTGGGGGACCATATTGCAAATGGAATAAATGTTAGGGGACTGTATTGCAAGTTTTAAAAGTTAGGGGACCTAAATGAAAGCTTCAGAAATGTTCAGTGAACATTACTATACTTTACCCTTAAAATAAATTTATTTTTTGAAATAATCATTGATATGCGATGCATTAACCGACTAATATAGATCGAGTACTGTAAAGACAACAACGACTCTCCCAATTCAATTTGCTCTATTCACAAATATCAAAGTTCAAACCTTTGACTTTACTTAAAAATCTAGTACTTTATCTCGCTAGACTAACTGATTATTGATAAAATAAATTTAAATTTTGATTAGGATAATTTTTTTTACAAATGTCCATAGTTTTTCTATTACCATATTTTTGTATTTTTTAATATTATCATCGGTATTAATTTAGGGTAAAGTATACAAATAGTTCTCGACTGTGTATTGATTTATAAAGTTCCTCGAATATTAAAAGTTACAAAATGATCTCCTAAATATAAGATATTGTTTTGTTGAGTCACTTGATTATTGAAATCTACAAAATGATCACATGAATATTCATTGTGTTCCAAACTCATCATTTTCCATTAAAATTTTGATAGCAATTTGAGCTAGACGTTAACATACTCATTGTGATATGATATAATATGATATCAGAATCTCAAACGACTATCATATCTCGATCTGTAGGTTAACATCTAGCTCAAACTGTCATCATCTTTTTAACAAAAATGTGGTTAGAACGCAATAAATAGTCGGATGATCATTTTATAACTTTTAATATTTCAGGAACTCAACAAAGCATAATTCTATAGTAAAAGGATCATTCTGTAACTTTTAATAGTAATATGATTCTATAAAATAATGCACTATAAGCAGGAGACGTTTATATGCTTTACCCTTAGATTAATTTAGATTATATCTTATAAAAATTATTAATTATACTCTTAGTCCTTAAACTTTTGTACAAGTGGCGCGTACATGGTCCCGCAATAGGATGCTTTAATGTTTGACAATTGACATCCCTCGACTTTGGTATGGGCATTTATGTAATTGTACCTAACAGTTGCAACGTCTAATGCAAATATAAATGCTTTGCAACACTTACAGGAAACGGCTCTAATGTAATGGAGCAACCACCATGTACCGAAGATGACTATACCACTGCCTCGCCTGAATCCTCCACCACCGTCAAGACCGACCCGAAACACGGTCCGAAGGGCAGCGGAAGTCGGCATCCCGTGTACCGGGGCGTTCGGAAGAGGCGGTGGGGAAAATGGGTGTCGGAGATTCGAGAGCCGCGCAAGAAGTCACGCATTTGGCTCGGCTCGTTTCCCGTGCCGGAAATGGCCGCCAAAGCCTATGACGTGGCTGCGTTCTGCTTACGAGGAAGCAAAGCGCAGCTGAACTTCCCCGACGAAGTGGATGATTTACCCGTACCGTCGACGTGCACGGCTCGGGATATTCAAGCCGCGGCCGCGAAGGCAGCGCATTCGGCCGCTTCGTCGAAGAAAATTCAAGAAGAATCGTCCGAAGACGGCAAGACACGCGGCGGGGACGATTTCTGGGGCGAGATAGAACTGCCGGAGTTGACGAACAGCGATTGGCAATGGAATTCTTGTGGGTGGACGACGTTCGCCGGCGAATCGTCGTGGCTAGATGGAGAAGCTCAGCCACAGCAACACTTCTTGACATGTCTGTAATGAAACGAAAACTCCATTAATGTTTCACCAACTTCTCGTCTACGCTGTTTATGAACGTATTTGGCATTATACTATATAGATGGTTTAGGTTTTGTGGTTATGATGGCAAGTCTACTTGGCAAGGTAAGTTTCACCATTAATTCACTCTCTTCCTACAATTTTTAGGGTTCAAGATTAATTATTTTTACCATTATTTCATCTCTCTTTCCATTGATTCCCAACTTGATTACCGCCCTAACCAAGTGACCTTTGTGACAAAGAAACTGTTATTATTCTTTGAGGATTCGGGTTCCATACTATGAATGTCAAAGAGGTAAGGATTCAATGTTATAAGGAATAGTTATCATATATTGTCTTATACTTATATCAAATTAATTAAAAAAACTTGATTATGTGTTAAAATAGATTAAGTGAATTAATAGGAGGTGCTTTGATAGTACGTGGAGTTTTCTATTTTTCTTAGGTATAATTAGTCGTGTCTAATTCAAATTAAATATTCTAGAATTATGTTAGAAAAATAATCCTTTTAATTTAATTTTCTCTACTATTATATATGTTGAAATTTGAGACTTTAATCATATTTTTATGAAGTTGTTTGTATGTCTAAATTAATAATATCATTAATTATTGTCATTAAAGTAATTTTTTCCTAATAATTAGTCATAAGTTAAGATCCCTCAAAATTTGAATTAATCATGTTCATTAATAAAGAATTACTTATCACTCGAACACTGATATTTTTTAGAAAAATAATATCGTCAGTTTAATGTAACAACTAATAATATTATTAATAGCATTTAATAATATTATTATAAAAATAAAAGGTCAAATTATGTGAAATTAAAGTGGTATGATAAAGTCATAAATTTAACCATAATATAGAGAGTAAAAGTAAAAGTGTGTAATTACGGAGAAATTATTTGATACATTCAGCTTATCACGTCATCTATGATTCTAATCAATAAGATTTACGGTAGAAAAAATAAGATGGATGTATTTTATTAATTGTGAACATAAATATCATAATAAGTTAAATCCATCTAATAATTTTTCGTAATTACGACAAATGCTTTAGATTCTAATTTCACCTCACTCGCTGTCACTTGCACGAAGGTGTGCGTGCATGTGATTTTCATGTAGGTTTTAGATTTAACCATCAAGGAATATGACTGATCCGTTAGTTTTCAAAATTATTAGATAAATGTTGCTGTTAAAAAAACATAACTATTTTTTGAATTAGTAAAATAAATTAGTTCATGCAACATTTTCGTATTATTCACGATTAAATGAAAATAACATTGGAGCGTGGGTGAAACTGTTAGAAGTGGACGCAACTGTGCATGAAAGGGATATTCGAATGGACCACACAATGGTAAAATATTGGCACAATACAAAGTTCGGCTAGGCCTTGGAACCTTTTATTATGCCAATCCTTTTGTGGACCTCACCCACTGTTATGCACGTATCCATAAACAGTAACAACAATACATGTAGTATCCCAAAATTTTGACTAATGACCAAAATATAAGTTCTGAAAGTTTGGTGATCAAAGTATAAATTTGAAAAAAGTTTAAGGACCAAAGTGATAATTTTTACAAAAAGAATTTTTATTCAATACATGAATAGTTTGCCTCTATGAATGGCATTTTCGCAGGAATCAAATTTTTGATTCAGAATTTGTGTTAAAAGCTATAAAGTAATTAAGTTCGATAAAAAATCGAATAATTTGATCGAACCGAAATTTCTCAAAATTTGAAGGATGCTAGAGAAAGGTTAAAAATATTATTTTCATAATTTAGAGCAATGAAATTTAACATGGATTAGTGGAATTTATGTTGGTTTTCTATGTTAAACTAAAAACGTGAGATTTAGTGACTAAATTGCAACTTTTGAAAAGTGCCAAGGATAAAGTTAGAAAGTCAATTTTTATTTCTTCATCCTTGATTTTGAAGATGATATGGATACGATGATGTCAGGGATGATGTCATAACAACGGCAAAGTGAAAATTATTATATTTTAGTAAGGTTAAAATGGTAATTTATAATTAAATATGTTTTAAATTCATTTAATTATATTAAAGTCAGGTGTATTGGGTGAATTATGAAGAAAATTTCCAGGAAATTTCGGATTTCTTCAAGCTTGAACGTGAATCACCATGGTTTCAAGGTAAAAATTTTCAATGTCATTTTTAAGTTTATTTGATTGATTTTTGAATTTAGCTATTAGATAGATAATTAATCTACATGAAACTCTCTATCAATTGGTATAAAAATTACGTGGAAATTATGCTTATATGATGAGATTTGGAGTAGGGTTATGAATGACATGTTTAATTTTGAAGATTTGATGGAAAATTATTATATTTTTGATGTTGTAGATTAATTTTCAGGTATGTGTGATGATTAAAATTAAGTATAAAGTTATATGTGACACTCGACCTAACTCTAGAATTTTAGGAAGTTTGTGATTTGGTTAAATTATGCTAGGGGTTTGATTGTGGAAGCTTTGAAATGTTGAATTGAGGTAGAATTCATGCTTAAATCAAGTTGAAAATATTAAAATCCCTAACCCTAGAAACTCGGCCATGATGAATAAATTGGGGGAAAATATGGAAAAATTTCCCTAAGCTTAGAAATGATGTTGGAAGGGTTCTACAAGTTTTAGAAAGTTATTGGGGCTATTCTGTAATTTTTTTGAAAGTTAGGAGTCTTATTCAACAATTTTGAAAAGTTATAGGGTTGATGTGAAGTTGTTCAATACATTATGAACTATGCTGGAAATTAATGTTGAAGTGTTAAAAATTGATGTTAGAATGTGAAATCTGACTATTTTGGAAAGTTGACAAAGTTTGAGGACCTAAATTGTAATTATAGAAAAGTTATGGACTTAAGTTGTAATTATGAAATTGTTGAGGTATTATGCTGAAATTGAATGCTGGAAATTTTAATTATGTTAAATGAAGCTTGAATGAAAGCTAAAGTGCAAAGTGCTAATTAGAATAAAAAGGAAAAGTTGAGATGAATTCTAAAAGAATTAATAATTGATAGTTAAATTATAAAGTCGGAAATGTTATGTGAAGTTACGTGAAGTAGAAAAAAGGGGACTTGAATGATCAATTTAAAGTATTAAGGTCAATATTAACATTGTGACATGAAGTTAATGTCGGATGAACATCGAAAGATTTTTAGGAATTTATTTTCTGTTGTATGCCTGTGTTAATAAGATTCTAATATGTGGGTTGAAATGTATATGTTTTGTAAACAGTGCCCATTTAGATTATGGTTGAAATCAAGATCAAGCAATATTAAAGCTAAGGAGAAGCTTAAGGATAAATGTGCATTACTAATGAAGGTTTATAAGCTAAGGACACCAGGTGAGTGCATACTTAATTCGTATTTATGTTGTTGTGCAAATGTTGGCTTGCGATGAGTCAAGGACAGAGTTACGATAGTAAAACTGACTCCTAAATGTTATATGATTTGTGATTCATGCATATATGTTTATTTGGTAAGCTAATAGAATGAGAGAATAAGCTAAGGATGGTTCTTAGTGAAAGCTGCTAAGAAATTATATTTTGAATAGTAAGTTTAGAAAATCACCATAAATTTTATATAAATGATTAGAATATGATTTTTATACCATTGGATTCGTATGTAATTTCAGTTTCTTTTAAAACAAACGGATACTAATTTTGAGGAGTATACAATAATACATGAATTTTTAACCGAAGATAGGTAAGAAAACAAGGCAATTGCTTCTACTCAAAATAGCTTATGTAAGTCAACTTTGAAAATTCACTATAAATTGTATAAACTGAAATAAAAGAAATGACTTATATGGTTAGATTCATATTCGAGTCTAGTTTTCATTGGTGCAAACGCAATAATTTTTAAGTGTGTATATTGATACATAATAATAATTCTTTGAAGGTAGTACAAACTGCTAGAGTATGAAGTTGTGATAAATTTAGTGATCAAAAGTAAATTGAAAACAAAGGTTTAAACTTAGAGCGTACTGAGGCTTATATGTTGAGTTATAATTAAAGTATCAAAGTGAGTGCATTTTATTTATTTAATTATTATGATTGAGGAAGACTTGTGATAAGTCAACCTCCTATTATTTTTAAAGTATGATTTTATTCTAAGTATGGAATATTTTTATGATGTCGTATAAGGGATATATAATTGTTTTGGTTATGAAATTACTCAATATGATTTTAAATAATATTTCCTGAAAAATGTATTTGAATGAATGCTCCAAAATGATTTCTCCAAAATGATTTCTAAGAATGATATGAATTTAAATGAAGAAATATTTCTTTAATGATTTCAGAAATGGTGTCTGAATTATTTTAGGGTATGAACTGCCCAAGTTATGAGTTTTATGATGATGAATGGAAAATGATAATAATTAATGGAAAAGCCCATTGTATGTTGCATTGAGAGTCGTAGGTACAATTGGCATGTCATGAGGTAAAGTGAATATGATTATGATCTAGTACATTCATGTACATTATGTATGGCACATTGGGTGCAAATGATGTGATTGCACTTGTAGTGCATCTTATGATAAGTTATGATTAACACCGTGAAGTGCATATTGCGCATACTCGTCTGACTCACGTACCTTGCATTCTCATAAATATGCATTGGGCTATGATCATGAAAGTAAAACTACGAGTCTGAAAGTAAAACTACGAGTCTGAAAGTAAAGCTACAAATCTGAAAGTAAATTATGAGTTTGGAAATCAGTTCTAAAATGTGAAAAATGAATATGAAATTGAAAGAAGAAAATAAAATATAAAATGTTCTTAAATATATTTGAATGAAAAAGAATATGACATGATTATTATGTTTGATATTGATTATCATGGTTTTGACAAAATCATGAGATGATGATTTTCAGGTTTCTGATTAAGAAAAAGGTCTTGAATAAGTCGGTTTGAATATTTAATGATTTTATTTAAATTAAAGTTTAATGTTTTAAATTATTATAATATTATTAAGTTGTTTTATATATGATATCACTTTAGTTTATTTATAATGTCTCACTAAGTGTATATTTAGCGTGTGATGATTTTCACTCGTAGGTTAAGAAGAGCAAATGAAGTAAGGAGTGGAGCTTAA